TTCGTCAATCTAACTCGTATTTATACTCTCTGACATTTCATACTGTGGGAACTTTTTCCCAGAGGAAGTTCAATGTGTGACGCACATTATTCACATCTTCCTCGCTTGGTTGACCACAAGTCAACCCCCAAACTTCCCTTACGTACGTAGGCCTACATTCCGTCTTATTTACTAAAATGTTAAAAGTTCCTGTTTTTGTTTAACGTCCGTATTTCCTGTTATTGAAATTTTCCAGTTTACTTTATACATATTTTTTGGTCATAACATTGGAATGCATATAAAAATTTTTACTATATATTTTTACTGAATCCGGTAAGTTACTCAGTAATTTACAACAAAAAGTGTGCTAGCGCGCTTGGTTGGCAAATAGCCTGACATCCGGGCACAAACGATCCGATCGGCACAAATCGTTTCGGTTTTCAATCGGGAAATCCCAAATTGTAGCAATTTATGGAATATTTCCGAACGCCACATATACATGAAATGTTTGTCTATCTTTTTGGGCCACGAACATATATTAGGAGATAAAATTTGAGGCTCGAGCGTCGGCCACTTACAGCGTAGACTACTATTTATAACTGAATAATTAACTGATATGTTTGTATCAGACATATCCAATCCGATCCGACATAGTTATTCGCGACGTTCGTGGTAGGGACTATATAACACTTCCAAAGCTAATAAACCTATATCCTATAACTTAAGACATTTAACATTTTATCATCAAACAATACATCTATAGACTCAGTTATTACTACTCACGAATCGCGAAATTCGATTGCGCATTCAAATGTCGAAATGGCGCGTTCTGAGTCGGGCAAAGTCCGAATTCAAAGAAAAACATGTAGCCGTGACTGGATGATTTAAAATATGAGCATTAAAGTATTAAAATGTCCAGTCATGCATTCGTGTTGTATTGTAGTAATATGTAATCATGAATGCATGAGTGAACATTTTAATATTTAAATACGCATATTTTAAATGAAGCAGCGTGTATTTTATTACTGGAGATTTGTTGGGTTAAATTTTCCTGTATTTATCTAGCGTATAAACGGGAAAAGTAAGAAAAAAAAATATTAAAAATAAAAATAATATTTTCGTGAAAAATGCGTTTTTAGCACATATTATGACCTATACGACTTCACCCACGACTTCACCCACGACTTTACTCACGACACACGACTTTTAACCCACGACACACGACATATAGGGACACTCGGTTAACGGTTAATAAGAGACATTAGCAGATACTGACAGTTCTCTACAACTGACAAGAAAAATCGTCTGGCGTTACAGAGTGTAAATTTGTCTGGCGTTAGACAGAGTTAATACTAAAGTGGGGCGCATTGTCAGCTAATGGGTATGCCGTTTATCCACTTTTGACCCAATGGAAACTTTTTCATGTTGGTTATTTACTCATGTTCCGTGCACGCAATTTAAGAATAAGTTCATTGGGTCAAAAGTAAACTTCGCTTTAGAGATGTTTTGCATTCAGTTCATGTGGCAAAAAAGGCAGCACTTTCCTTGCGATAGTAACTCCTGTAATAAATCTGTGTATACAGGGTGTATCAAAAAAAGCGCAATCCTCGACTGAAATGTAAATTGCTAAACAAATAATAGACGAAAACGTTAAAGTTTACATTCATTTTAAAGCGTAGCCATTCAGCTTTCTAACAGTGGGTTGTTTCTTAAATTTGACTCATTGGTTCGCGGCTAATAATACTTTACGTTATTGTGATTGGAGATTAAAAAAATTGAGATGGAATAACAAATCGTTCTCATGAAAATAACTGATTTTTTCATTAAAACAAAAAATGTTGCATTTTATTAAATGGATTGTAACAATAAGTATAATTACGGCTTTTCTTCCACTATTTTTAACTCAGTTTCAAACTTCAAATGCGATATAATTTTGGCTTGGACCATCTAAGCTGACTGACATCAACTTGCTATAATTTCTGTTTACATTACATCGTAATTCGATGACACTCTGGCTCAGACACCAGAATGTTTTGACGATTTTAGCATTCGTTTAGGATTTTCAAACAACCTGGTCTCTTTTAAAATACTTTTAATTTGTTCTTACGTGGTTTTCCAGATGTAGTGACGACAACATTAAAGTTTAAAGAAGAAAATTCTAACATTTAAACCGACTAAACAATAACATATAGACTATAATAAACTTGCATAATTAAACAGCAACTAAAAATGATAGGTTTTACTAAATCTTTTCCTGTGCAATTATTACTAGCATTGGAGACAAAGATAATAGTTTGTTTGAAAGAGAAAAGAACAGGCTTTGAAGTAAGCCTAAAAGCGTTTAACTAGAAATAGTATTTCGAAAGTTATTAAGCACAAAAGATGAATTGCGTTTATTTTGATACACCCTGTATAGTCTATATGTGGTAAATGCGCCTAGGCGGCCTAGCAGTAAACAGACTTGATATGAAATTTGATAGCAAAAACTTGTGTTTTATAATTAATTTACCTGTATGTCGATGAGACGCACATGTTTAAAATCTGTCACCTGTGATTGCCCTTTAACCCCTGGTCTTGGCTACTTTAATATATAATATATTGCTTTTTCTCAGTTCCACTCATGATAAGAATCGATTCTATAAAGTTTTTTAGCGGACAAAATATCTTAAATGTATCAATCGAGTTTATGCGCTATAAATTGATGTTATGTGCTATACATTGATGTTATGTGCAAATACATCGATGTCATAAACCGATACAACTAAAAGATAAACCGATACAACTAAAAGATAAACCGATACAACTAAAAGATAAACCGATACAAATAAAAGATGAGGAAACGGAAGTAAATACCAATAAAAGATGAGGAAACGGAAGCAAATACCAATAAAAGATGAGGAAGCGGAAGTAAATCGGAAAAACGGAAGTTGAGCGACGCGGCGACATACAACAATGGCGTCTCTTGGACCACGCATTTGGCTTCCTAATACAGAAAACTCTTTTCGTGAATTGGTTGATTTAATAAGAAATGCTGAACAAAGTCGCACTCATTGTGACTCGCCAGACTTTTATTGTCGTAGATTAGAAGAGTATGAACGCACATTGAGTGTTTTAACAACAAGAATCACCGAATCTTAATACACAACGGAGCAGTTTTTAATCAACAATCTACATAAACTATGTACTTATTTAAATAGTTTACGAAATGAATTGGACGTTATTGTTGAAAATTATGAACGGACGTCAGAGCGCTTTTCACTAGAAGAGTCTTACGATCGTGCGGTTTGTACGGCGGAAAGAAACGGGCTCGTTGGTAGGCCAAGAATACAAGTCACAGAAGAGCAGTTAACCACATAAGTCAATGCCACAATATGCCAAGTGTGAAATATGATGGTGTGATGGCCTCGTGTTGTTGGCACAATTTATGCTTGTGAAAATAATGTTGTATTTGATAAGCCTGAGAATAAAGTATAAAAAACCACTTGTATATGTCACCGTCACCGCGCTAGCCTGCGAACAGGCTCTCAAGCTGAATTGAGAGCCTGCATCGATGACTAATGAATTTGAATATCTGCGTCTCAAATCGTGACGCGAAATTCTCATTGGTCAGATGCTATAATTGATATGTTTCCGCTGAGCTCTATATATGTCAACTGCTGAAGCACTATGCATAAAAAACACATTAACTGATCAAATTGGTCTTGGCCGTCTTATCTCAAAGCACGAAATGTTCTGTTTTGAGAAAACAGTATTTAAAACATTTGAACTTTTGCTTTAATATCTTATATTTCGAAAAACAGTATAAACTGTACGGTCTAAATTTAGTTTGCACGGTCTAAATTTAGTTTGCACGAAAGTTATAAACAACTCCAAATAAGGACAGACATTCCATATTTGGAAAAACGAACGTTACGGGGCAGATATTCAAATTCATTAGTCATCGATGCAGGCTCTCAATTCAGCTTGAGAGTCTGTTCGCAGGCTATCACCGCGCTTAAGTCACCGCGCTTAAGATAGACTGAACAAAATCTTTTCGTCACCACGATTAAGATAGACTGAACAAAATCCTGAACATTTGGTATTCTGCCCTGTCTCTCTTACACAAACCGCACGATCGTAAGACTCTTCTAGTGAAAAGCGCTCTGAGGTCCGTTCATAATTTTCAACAATAACGTCCAATTCATTTCGCAAACTATTTAAATAAGTACATAGTATATGTAGATTGTTGATTAAAAACTGCTCAGTTGTTTATGATTCGGTGATTCTTGTTGTTAAAACCGACTCAATGTTGCGTTTATACTCTTCTAATCTACGACAATAAAATCCTTGCATAAAAATCAGCATTTCTTATTAAATCAACCAATTCACGAAAAGAGTTTTCTGTATTAGGAAGCCAAATGCGTGGTCCAAGAGACGCCATTGTTGTACGTCGCCGCGTCGCTCAACTTCCGTTTTTTCGATTTACTTCCGCTTCCTCATCTTTTATTGGTATTTGCTTCCGTTTCCTCATCTTTTATTGGTATTTACTTCCGTTTCCTCATCTTTTATTTGTATCGGTTTATCTTTTAGTTGTATCGGTTTATCTTTTAGTTGTATCGGTTTATCTTTTAGTTGTATCGGTTTATGACATCGATGTATTTGCACATAACATCAATGTATAGCACATAACATCAATTTATAGCGCATAAACTCGATTGATACATTTCAGATATTTTGTCCGCTAAAAAACTTCATACGATTCCTTACTGGCTTAAGGCCTTAAGCTGACAGCTCACTAGTCGCTGCGAGTAATAACTGTGCTTGATATATAATTTGTGCTATTTACTGTAGTTCTATTTGCTTTTAATGCCCGCAGCAATCCCTACCTTGCAGGTACCCTAGTTTATTGTGATATATTAACAGAGGAGTGTCCCTATATGTCGTGTGTCGTGTGTCGTGGGTTAAAAGTCGTGTGTCGTGGGTAAAGTCGTGGGTAAAGTCGTGGGTAAAGTCGTGGGTAAAGTCGTGGGTCATAAAATGTGCTAAAAATGCATTTTTTCACGAAAATATTATTTTTATTTTTGGTATTTTTTTTCGTACTTTTTCCTTTTATGCGCAAAATTAAAAATTAGGAAAATTTAACGCAACAAATCTCCAGTAATAAAATAATGTGTACGTTATCTGTAGTATAACAAGTAAATGTTTCCATTTCGTATAGTCTAATAGTAATAAGTCTATCGATGTATCAGTTTGATGATAGAATGTCTTAAGTTATAGGATATAGGGTTATTAGCTTTCGAAGTGTTATGGTCCTATCACGAACGTCACGAATAACTATGTCGAGCCACAAATTTTGCCATTTTATCTCCTACTGAGTATATGCCGGTTCGTGGCCCTTAAAGATAGACACTGAACATTTCATGTGTATGTGGCTTTAGGAAATATTCCATAAATTGCTACGATTTGGGATGATTTCCCGATTGAAAACCGAAACATGATGATTTGTGCGATGTCGGCCTATTTGCCGACAAAGCGCGCTAGCCGCTGTTATTTTGACAGAATATGATTATATGATATAGGCCTACCTCTACACTTTTCAGCCGTAATACATATAAATGCGCGCATTCTAATCATATACATATCGTTTAATTTAGCTTCAAAAACTTGATAAAAAACATGTTATTCGTGTTGGTTCCGGAGCGCAATGCCAATGGTGTGATCGTTGCCAGAGCACATGCAAAGCCACCTCGGTAGCCTATATATCATGTATGCAACTCCGGGAAATCTTGCTTATTTCAATCTAATAAAGCAAACTTTTTTCTTTGATAATGTGCGCAACATGCTGCGCATTTTACATTTAACAAAATACGGCAATTTTGATTTTATCAAGTTTTTGAAGCCGTAAATTAAACGATATGTATATGATTACAATGCGCGCATTATGTGATCATGCACGGCTGAAAAGTGTAGAGGTATCATATTTATGATGTTTTTCAAAATAACAGCGGCTAGCACGCTCGGTCGGCAAATTTGAGCCCAACATCGCACAAATCTCGGCGCAAATCATTTCGGTTTTCAATCGCGAAATCAGCAATTTATGGCATATTCAGTCCGAACGCCACATCACATGAAATGTTTGTCTATCTTTATTAAGGGCCACGAACATATACTAGGACTAAGATAAAATAGCAAAATTTGAGACTCGAGCGTTGGCCACTTTACAGTCTTTACACTCAATACAGCGTACAATTTATAGCTCACTATGTTTGTATCAGACATATGTCGACATAGTTATTCGCGACGTTCGTGATAGGGACTATAACACTTCCAAAGCTAATAAACCTATATCCTATAACTTAAGACATTTTATCATCAAGCAGTATATCTATAGACTTATTAGACTATACGAAACGGACACATTTACTTCTTATACAATAGATAACAGCAAGATAAGAAACAACATGTATATTATTTTATTACTGGAGATTTGTTGCGTTAAATTTTCCTGTATTTATGTAGCGCATGAAAGGAAAGGGTACGAAAAAAATATTAAAAATAAAAATAATATTTTTGTGAAAAAATGCGTTTTTAGCACATTTTATGACCCACGACTTTACCCACGACTTTACCCACGACTTTACCCACGACTTTACCCACGACTTTACCCACGACACACGACTTTTAACTCACGACACACGACATATAGGGACACTCTTAACAGAGGAATGCTTCCGTTCAATTACAACTTCTTTCAGCACGAAAAGTCAAATCTATTGACGTAAATCAGCACAGCTGGTGTTTTCAATATAAATGCACTTTCTTTGCGGAAATTTTGTCATTTCAAGTCAATCCGAGGAAGAGTGAGAAACATTTTACAACTGAGCAGCGCAAATATTGAAAAATGAGGGTGTTGGCGACAGTTCTAGCTTTGATTTTTGTCACAACGCTTTGTGCAGTAAGTACATAAATAATTTTTAAACCAGTCTAACGTGATGTTCGTGAACTTTATTTTTAAATAAAGTAAATAAAGTAATTAATTCTACTTGAGACGTTTTATGTTTATCATATAGCATGTGCGATAATTAATGTATATGGGCATGCATGCACGCACTCACTCACTCAAATATCAAATTTGAGTGACTCAAATTTGATATTTGAAATTGAGTGAATTTCGTTGAGTCTATTCAAGTTTTAGGTACCAGAGTTTCTTAGCCTTAGGGCTTTTGCTGTCTTATATATAGTATTTGCGATTAAAACAAATTAAAGTATATTTTCTTGAAGTAAACTCTAAGTGTTCACTTTACGTAGACATGGCTTGTACGTGGTCATTAAATCGTGACTGTCCTTGCCATAGGACTTAATACCACAAGTAATATATATGTGTGTGTGTGTAATTAATTAACTATATCAAAACTAATTACGGGGAGCACCTCGCATGGGACTTTTAGTGTCCCGTTTGTGCTTTTCCGTTTGAGTGTATCTACTAATTTGTGATTTGTGACGTGTGTTTTGTCTTTCGTTTGTCAAGTTTTTATCTTTGTACCTGATATAGTACGTATGTAGATGGCTCAATAAATTCATTAAATAAACTGAGGGTGGATATCGTCATATCGCACCTGAAACGGAATGAGTTTTTGGTATGACCGCTTAACCCGTGTACTTTCACTTCTGTAACTGCATGGGATTTTCGATTCCTTTTAAAATATCCAGTTGCCTGCAAGATATATAATCAAACTGACTCTATCGAAACTACGGGTGGTCTGGATTCATAGCAAAGTCTAGGTTTAGTCGAGAACTCGAGGTTTCCTTCTGTAGTAACACTGGCTTGCTAATAGAATTTTTATGCTTACCTCCCTAGACTGAGATTTTAGATAAGTAGGTAATAGCCTAATAGGATAATACTGTGTAGGTACTTAGGCATCGCGGCTAGGATATAACCTGGTACAACCTGATACAACAAGGATTACTGAAGGGGTGATGAACACATCCTTGTAAAGTTAAATTCATTCACGCACGAACTACTGTGAAGGATATCATTATATTGTCGTAGACAATTTCTAAGTTTTGTCAACTTTTCCCCCGCCTCCTCCCCAATATTGCATCCATATGCTAGTTTTTTAGTTTGTATGTATAGTGATGGCGTAATCTAGCCCTCACCTTTACTGGGCAAAACTGTTTGAGCACATCTTTCATGTGCAATATATATTTATATATAATTAATTAATTTCTGTTATGAAAATTTAAAATAAAGCGCCTGGGGGATTGTTAACCCCCAAGCCAAATTAACCCAATCACGTGTCAGATTTATTATACTGTCTACCGTGCAGCCCAGTAAACAGAGCTCAATCAATGCAACACTCAAGCTTCGATACATTTAGGATTGTTATGTGATGTCGGGTATAGGGTGGAAAGCATAAAGAGGATATTACACGACGGCGCGAAGATACGACTTTTATCTTCGAGTTGTGAAAACAATATATACGGACGGTCTCAAGCAAAAAATTGTGAAATTTCACACTCAAAAGCATGTCATGTCAAATTGTCACGTGATCGATATAACATATATTTATAAATGTATATATATATAAATGTATATATATATATATATATATATATATATATATATATATATATATATATATATATATATATATATATATATATATATATATATATAATACTTAAAATGTTTTTGTTGCTACTCCGAGTTTCATGCCGTAAAGGCAATCATCAGGCATCATATATATATACACTGGATCCAGAAAAGTTTGACCTTCGAATATATATATATATGTCGGCCATTTTGAATTTTCTTGGTTTAATTATATGCGAACGAATACATCAAATGTCGCTCGCAACGTATTGTATATTGCAATATTATTCCAACAGCTCAAATGAATAAAAGAATCATTGATTGATGTCTTTGCACATAATCATAATGGCTAGTAGGAAATGAACATTTGGAAATGAACATAAT